CATCAGGTGAGTAATTTTTACATTTGTTAAGTTGCCTGTGAGCAACTTTGGGCAATTGTGGTAATATATTTTTATACATATAGTAATGAGACCTCAAGACAAAGGTTTGTCAAAAGACGACATAGAACGAGTTTTAAACTTCGATTGGGACGTTTCTTCGGATGATGAAAGTGATGATGATATGGAAGATGTGTCTACAGTGCTGGAGCAAAATTTGGAGGGAATTATGGATAGAGGGGAAAGCATAGAAATTGGCCTTCTTGACAATCTAATAGAAGAAGATAATACTCAAGAACCTCGCTCAATACAAATATGTGTATCGAAAAAATTGATTCGAAGGCATTAAAATGGAGGTCAAAGGTATTTAAAGCCCCGGAGAGTATGTGGAAGGAAGAGTACACCTTGGAAATTCACGAAGTAATGAAACCAGTGGACTATTTCTCACAATTTTTTGATGATCGATGTATCGATTTGATCACTCAGCAAACTGACTTATATGGACTTCAGAAGCTGGGAATTGAACTTAAAAGCACAAAAGTAGAAATACAACGATATATAGGCACTCTGCTATACTTGAGTGTTATTAAATTGCCCCAATTAAAAATAGCGTGGTCTCAAAATTTGAAGCTAACGGCTATAACGAACTCATTATCTCGCAATAAGTTTGAAAAAATTAAACAGTGTTTACATTTTAACGATAACAGCAAACAACCAAAAAAAGAAGATTCAAACTATGACAAATTGTACAAGACGCGTCCTCTACTAGACATCGTTAGAGAAAACTTTAATGATCTCCCTCAGGAAGAACATCAAAGTGTTGATGAGGAAATAATTGCGTTCAAAGGTATGTATGATTTATAATATACATTGTACAGTTTCTTGAAAGGTTTCCTGAATTTTTTGGTAAAAGGTCGATCAACGTACAAACAATACAATCCAGCTAAGCCCAATAAATGGGGCTTGAAAATGTTTACACGTGCTGGAACATCTGGACTGGTTTACGCTTTCACGCTATATGTTGGTGAAGGTACCTGCCCATTATATGGACAGGGGCTCTCTTCGGATATAGTTCTTTACTTAGCGAAAAAGTTACCCAAACAGAAGAACTTCAAACTCTATTTTGATAACTGGTTTACATCGGTAAGCCTGCTGATAGCATTGAAGGAAATGGGCATATTCGCAACAGGAACTATACGCAAAAATCGTATAAACAACTGTTACTTTCAGAGACCGAGCTCAAAAAACGAATCTTTCGACACTAAATGTGAAATCAATTATAATATTGTGTGTCTAAGATGGTCCAACTTATATCTTCGTATATTGATTATCAACCAGTTGGGGCTTGCAAACGTTGGAGCCCGAAGGAAAAAACCTACGTTGAATATCGACGGCCTGCAATAGTAGCTTCTTACAATAAAGGCATGGGTGGTGTAGATTTGGCAGATATGTTGATGGAACTTAACAAAGTTCACCACCGCTCAAGGAAGTGGTATATACGAATCTTCTATTGGTGTCGTGGAACGTGCGTTACAAATGCATGGTTACTTTATAGAAAACAATTAAATACGTTATATCCGAAACAGAAACACATTCCACTCATAAAATTTCAACTAGAAATCGCTGATGCCCTGTTGCAATCGTCTTCAATATCTGTCCAAAGAGAACGAGGTAGGCCATCCAACGCAGAAAGTAGCTATCCTACAGATTCCGATGTTATCTCACCATCCAGCAGTGTATCTTCACAGAACTCAAAAAAGTACAGATTCCAGCCGAACCCTCCAGAAACAAAACGATATGATAAGTTGGAGCATTGGGTAGTTTACGGTGAAAAAGGGCGCTGCAGGTTATGCAAAACTGGAACTCCAACATCTAAATGCCTTAAATGTAACATCCATTTGTGTAGTAATAACAATAAAAACTGTTTCTTGTCTTTTCATACCTAATATTTTCTTATAAATAAAACCAAATGCAAATATTTGTTTAATTTTATACCACGATTGCCCAATGTTGCCCACAGGCAACTTTCTGTAGCACAAAAACGGGTGGGAGTGGCGACTTGAAAATTTGTCAGTAAACTTCTTTGGTATATATAATAAGGATAAAGATAAAAAAAAATTTTAACACCATTGCAAAAAAGTCGGGATCGAAAGGGTTAAAACGTGCAAACGGAAACCTAAATGTTTATAGGTGTGTAACGTACACTCATAAACAAAGTGAATAAACGCTGAACTTTTTTTTAACATTTAAATATAATTTTGTTATAATTAAAAGCATGGTGAAGAGTTTAAGGATCTTTCTATAATAAAAATTACAAATAATTTAATTATACTATATAGCGACTTAATGCATACATATTTCTTAACATTGTAATGATCATTTAATTAGCTGCTTCAACATTATTGCTGATCTTTGTGAAGGCCTTCGACGATCATTATGCCATAAGTGAAAAATGTTAGTGCACTTCTATCATTGTTATACCAATTATTATACCATTCATACAATACATACCATACATTTCATATAGGTTTTGTATTAATAGCTTTCCTGAGAGAATTGCATTTTATTACCTTACAGTAATAAAATTCATTCACTCTCCTGCTTGCTCATTCGCAGCATAGGATGCTCACCGATCGGCTGATCTTGTAGGTTAGCTACATCGGCTCACCTCATATGCGATGGAGCGGGTAGAATAAATGTAAAAACTCAACCTTTCTGCAAATTTTTAAAGAGAGTGCTTAGGGTTGCCATGTATCCTAAGCAAATTTCACATGTACTGAATTTCTTGTTATTTTTTTTAATTATTAGTTTTCTTAACATTATCTAAATATATTAATGTTTTTGCGTTATTTCAACAGTCCATTTGCATAAATTACCATAAACATAAATTAGTTTTCTTTTCTAAGAAACTGTAGCTCAAAATGTATATATTCTAAGATGTTTTATGCCAGTAGATTCCAGTAGATTTTGTATTTTCCTATATTTTATCTGAATTTTGTAAATAAAATTAAGAATGTGAATAAAAATTTAAATTTCAAATATAAATTCTTAAATTAAGAAATTTACTGTGATATAGTGGAATATGGTTAAATAGAAGAAAAGGGACTTTGCATATTATTTTCGCTCATCGCACAGTCAAGCGAGGGTAGGTTAAAGAAGCGCATATCTTAATAACACCTTTAAGATACAAATATATATTTCTTCTGCTAGCCAGTTGGTCAAGTCGGTTTGTTGTTTTTATTTGTTCTTTAGTTTTCTTCACAGTATGTGACGATCATACAGGGTATCTTCTTTTGTTTGTATGATTGGCCTTGGCCCATTTAATTTTAGAACAGATTTTGTATCCATTTTAATTATTTTGTTGTGAAACAAGGGAGTCTAAAAATATGTGCAAATAGTGGAAGTTGAAGTGTCAAGAATCCCCCACACCCGACTACTAGCTAGCATTTCAAAGGCTCCGGCTGGACTCTTCTATTCCCATCGAAACCGGTTTTCAGTAACCATGCACGGTACACCTATTTCACAATTGTGCATTACGCTATTGACAGTCATAACTTTGAAATCGTAGATAATTTTGTCTATCTCGGAACCAGCATTAATACAAATTATAACGTCAGCTTTGAAATGCAGCGCAGAATCACTCTTGCCAATAGGTGCTACTTTGGAATGAGTAGGCAATTGAAAAGTTAAGTTCTCTCCCGACGAACGAAAACCAAACTCTACAACTCCCTCATAGTTCCCGTACTGTTAGGAGTTTTCGAGAAAAAGGTTCTGCGAACCAAGAGCAGCGGTTACACTGGCTAGGTCGTGCCATCCGTATGGTTGCGAATACTTCAGCTCTGAACGTTTTCGATGCATTACCCGCGGATGGAAGCGGAGGAGGAGGAAGACCTTCACTCCGTTGGAAAGACCAGGTAGAGAAGGTCTTGGCTGTACTTGGTATTTCCGATTGGCGCCATACAGCAAAAGAAAGAAACGATTGGCGCATTGTTGCAAATCCGCTGTAATCGCGTAAGCGGCGTCTACGCGAGGAAAGCAAGTAAGTAAGATACCGGCAATACTTAACCGAAGTGTACTTGAAATTTCACAATTTGTATAAGGAAAGTAACTTTTTTCATTATATGATGGAAAAAACTCCATTTTGTGTCACAGCCCCTTGTAAGTTTAAATTTATAATTTATAAGGAAAACACTAATTATGAGAAACTTTTTTTTTGCAAAAAATTTACTTACGTAGAATAAGCATACCAACCAATGTGGAAAGTCCCATTAAATTCCATTCACAGTAGCAACCATTCAATTAAATGATATGTATATTTATTAAGACAGTAATTAGCAGAGATATTAAGAACAGCTCTTTGTCTGCTGCAAGGGGAGACTGTGACAGTTACAAATATTTTGAGATATACTACTTTGTCAAGAATAAATGCTTATAAATTTTCATATTTTAATAAGTTTGGCTAGTTGTGTGTGTATGTGTTGTGCATGTCATTGCACTCTTTATATTAAATACTACAAAAGGCATCTTACCGTTAACTCATCCATTTGACCCAGGCACTCGGTGACTTGACTCTTTGTTGTTTTTGTTTTCGTCGCTGTGCTGCCGTTCTTCTGCACATATATATGTATATATGNGCATATGTTCCTGCCCATGACTTCTTTGGCAAGTCCAACTAAGTAAGCAACCAACCGTGCAACATATGTTTGTTCTAGCGTGTTCTATGCAGGAAACTTTGCCTTGGCGGGACTCCAATGCAGTGACTTTTTGCCTTTGCTATTATTTTCATCTTTTTTTTATATATGTACCGTCACTAATTCTTTTTACCATATTTTCACACCCAATGCATAACTACATACGGGTTTTGAGGTTCATTGTTCACTTAATTTTTTTTTCTACAGATTCCAGCTTAAAATGTTGCCAATAAGTATTTTAATTATTAGAAAATGCTCTCATAGCATCTGTTGGGGAGCTAATTTCTGCGGAGCCGGGTATCAATTAAAGACTTAAAAAAAATTAATTATTAGCGATATTGAACCGATTTTCGTAAATTAAGCCCGGGTGGTTTACAAATCCTGCCCTGTCGATCATTGGATGGTTAAATAAATGTCAAACATTGTGTCACTAATAAGATCCTAACATGACTGAACTTTAACTTTGTCACTAACGAACTGAATTTTTCACAAACGAGTTCCCTCTGCAAATAAACCTGCTGCGGTGTGTACCTACACGCTTATATACCCGTCGGTAGGTTGCATACCGATCTGAGCAGGTCTAGATCCCAGAGAGATTATCTATTCTTATATCTTATTCTTCCTTATTCTTCCTTTCAACTGACTTGTTTTAACAAAATCATAATAACCCTTTTTAAAATAGAATCCTTTTTTAACAAGAAGTCGGCGCACATTAAGTTTATGGCATCAAATAAGTAATATAAGTTTATAGGTAAATCTGTTAAAATAAGATGTGCCCGGGATATTTTCTGTTAATTTTTTAACATTATTTTGTAATTTTTCTTTCTACCGAAAAACCGTTTAATAATTTATGCCTTGGGTGCAATAAGTTTCATTATAAATTTTCATTTCCTCCTAAGCCATTAAAGATTTGTCTATCTCCCCATGTTTGTTTACATTTTCATATATTAAATTCTGTGCCAAACATTTGTTAAGTGCGACAACTAAGCAAAGTTATACATTTTTATATATACTTACATATAGACATACATTTATTGTGCATGTGTGTAGGAGTATGTATATGCAAAAATTAGCTTCGAGAATACATACTGACATGCAAACTTCTGGATATGTCTTTAGTTTAGAGTTGTCCAGGTTTTTTTAAGTGCCTGATTTTGTTCTGGTACGATGAATAGGGGAGCTGAAAATATAGCATCTGTGCAAACGTATTTAGTTCACCAATTTGAGGGCATGCACCTGATATGTCCACTCTCTTAATTGGGAAAGAGCCGCTGTTCAGCTGGTTGATGTCGTCATAAAACGAATGATTACATCGTGCTTATAGTCCATAGCTGTAAAGTATATTTTAAACTAATTCGGTAAGATGGCTTTCAATAGTTCATTCTAATCTATGGAGCTTAAATTTACCCTTTGAAATTATCTAGGCACTTTAAAAAGGCCGTCACTGGTCTA